TTTAAGAAAAGTACTGTAAAACAGACCTTGTAATTATATTTTTGCACTTCCTGGAAATATTACAACGGTGACCCTGTTTCAGGGGAGATGGATCAGACACAGAAGAGCTACATACACTGTAACTGAGAACATCAATTTTGGTAAAATAAGTATATGTCTCACTTCAAAATACGATTTGCTACTCATCTTTCTAACACAGCAGCTTTGTACTCGAGGAGGCTGGCTGGAATCTAAACAAGAAAACTTTAATAAAAGGGATCAGTCTTGAAGAGCTTCCCAATACTACACGGTTTTATAAATATTTACTAAATACCTACTAATTAGAAATTTCACAAAGTTTCAAAGACTTAAAGATACACTTAAGATAATTCACATGAGCATACTAACCGCTTTCAAATGGTGCCTGAGTGTCAGCAAGACAATCAAATATAGATATTTGAACATGAAGAGACTCTAGGAAGAAACTTTTTCTGGTATTCTTCTAGACTATTTATAACCTACACTGACATAGGCTACCTAAATAAGAAAGTGAACTTGAAGCATCTATGTTTCCCTTCCAACAGCCAATACAGCACTTGGGAAAGGAGTGAATGAAAAAGAGAATCCAATTAACAAAAGAATCTGAAATAACTTTATGCCAAAACCTAGAAACAGGTCTTTTACAGAGATTTAGTGGAAAAAAAACCCTTGAGTTCTTCCTGCGAGTAAAACTCGAGCTCTAACAGTAAATGTGCAAGTCATAAAACCAGCATCTTCATGAAATGTCGGGGTAATAAGAATGGGGAGGTCATATCTACTATCACTACATTAAGATCTGAAAAAGAAAGGGACTTTCCAAGTGGAGGGGAGAGAAACCTGAGACACACAGATAGATAGAGGTATTTTAAATAACAGTAACAGGAGTAACAATGTAATAAATAAAATTATCAAATAACCTCATTGCTGAATATTATGTAAAATGAGCAATTCAATCTGCCATCAAAAGAGCGCTCATCTGCCAAGGTATCTGATTAACGACATCATCGACAGATACCTTCACTATTCTTGATACAGAAGACACTACCTAGTTCCTTTTTACCTGTCTGTAAGGCATTGTTGCACTGGTTCTGTCCACTGATGCTCACCTAGACTCATCTTTGACAAGGAAGCAGAAATGTCACTCGGGGCACATAATACATATACATTTTCCATATGCTACACACTGTCAGATTATGGATTTCTGTGACCAAATAATAAGCTGTCATCTAACAAAATTGTTTGGATGGTATCTGAAATATGACTAAAATGCTCAAAAGCATGTTACACATTCTTAGATTTTGTTAAGTATTGCACACTTACTGAACACTGAAGAAAGACGAAAAACATGGTCAGGACTTGACAGGTAACAACTAGATTACAGATTTACAGCCCTTCAAATAGTATTCAGAGAAGGAGGTGCTAGCTGCACATTTCATACCATGTCACATGTGAGGCCAGTTATCCCCACTTCTACCAGGGGTCAGTTTATTGCAGTTGAGGGTGTACACTGGTCAGAGTCTGCACATGCTTGGAATCAATATTCCAGTTTACTTCATGCACTACTTTGTGCTTGACAATACAATCAAGACATTTTAAAAATGCATTAATTGTAATATATATCATGATTTATATTAAAATTAATATATTACTATATAGAATATGTAATAAGGATATAAATTCCAATTAATATCTAACTCTTTATGACAACTGAGGTGCTCACTTTTGGTCACTGTCATAAACTATTTAAGAAAATGCAGATGTTCTTGCATTTCATTTTTATTCATAAAATATAAGAGTCAACTTGGTTCCCCTACTTTACAAGCACCAAAATTATAAAAATATTGTATGACAGAGTTAAATGCTTTAACATATTGAAGATGCATACTTTCATAGCACCTGGAACAGGCTACAAGTGCTAAGTAATTAAACGTTTCACTGAGGATACAGCTGCCAATGCAGCCATTTCCACTAATTCAATAGTCAGACTACATTTTTGGCAGCAAATGTATACAGCTTAATAGTGCTATTTTGTTTACTTGTGATTAGGTGCAGTCCTTATTGTCTTCTGCCTGTCTGACCACTTTATATTTAGGTAAGTTCTTCAGTGCCAGCTTCTAAATAAATTCTAACATTTTTAAAAAATATATTTTTACTTCTTAATGAAAACAGTAAAATTTATTTTTATTCAGTTCTGCTCAGTTCTCTCCACTACAAGAGGAAGCAGGTTTAACTGAATATCTATTTTTGTAACTATTTTGGTCATCCCGTGGAAGAACCATAGATCCATATCCCATCTTTCCCCCTGCCTATATATTGATGTGCTTTTACCCTTTGGTAGTGCTCACCCTTTATGAGCTATGTTAGCCTGTGAGCTAACAAAAATGCCAAGTTAGCACTGCTGAGTATCCTACATAAATATAATACAATTCCAAAATACACCATTAAGGAAAAATAGTTATCATTGTTCTAGTTAGAATGAAAAGATTCTCGTAACAGACTGAACACCTTTTTTAACCTATGAGCAGATTGCAACAGAATGAAAAAAAAAAAAAACAAAAAACAAACCCACACTTCAAGACAGTTAACATATCTGTCAACACGGTAGTTTCAGATCCGGTAAAACAGAATTTTCCAGCTAGCAGCTTTGCATCTTCATTGTTAAACTTCACGTTCATAACAGTTATGTGGAAGGACATTAAAGAAGAGGGGGAAAAAAATAATCACAGAATCACTTGTTCTCACTGAAATCAATACATTTCTGAAGAGAGGAGAAACTAAAATCTGTAGTTATACAATTATGCAAAACTGACAAAATGGCTGAGTAAGTGTTATTTACATACATTTAGATATTGACAATCTAAGGTAGTTGATAACTTCTCAAGGATTTATACAAAACTGTTTTAAAATTAACAAAAGTTTTGTATTAATAAAAATGAGCTTTCTGTGTAACACTGATCTATCAACACACAGGAATACGTTCAGCAGTAAAACAGAAAAGTTAGTTGTTAGAACTCAGATGAAGACTGAAGTCTATTTGATAGTACCCAGTAGAAGTTACCCTGAGGGAAACTCTTAAAGCTATGATTCACTTATCTTCCATTTGCTTAAAGGATGTTTCACTGTACCCTGAAAGTACTGGTTTACATTTCACCCATTTGCATTTGTAACTTCCCTCTTGGGTAATCTATGGTAAAAGTTACAGCTGAATTTTCTCCATTAGTTCTTTGCTTAAAATGCACGTGGAAAAGGTCAATCTTTAAAAGATGACAGAGTGGTTTTATATTCTACAAGATGGACACCCTGGAGAATATTCACGTACCCAACGCAGAATGAGAACAAATATTCTAAAACATTTTTTCAATAGGATTCTTCATCTGACAAGTCAACAGGAAACAATACATCAAGATGTTACAGTGATGCAAGAATGATACCTGAATTTGGAAAAAGCCACCAGAAGGGACAATTAAAAGCCAGCATCCACTTTTCAGCAAGCTGTGCTTCTGAGGGCAGTCCCCAAAAGAATCTCTCTTCAGTAAGCTTGGCTTACTGGGCAATAGTTAACTCTAGTTTTCTGCTCAGAATTTTAAATGCTGAGAGCCAGAAAAAAAGCCTCCTATAGGGCATCTCTGAAACTTGGTCAAAACCATTATTTTGCTTCACTTATTTGGGGGGAGGAAAATGTTAACACCATGAATATTTTCTAAGCCATTTTTCAAAAATTAAAAATACGGAGTGTGAAAACAAGAAATTGCAATTAGAAAAACACTGTATTTTGTCATTAGCCTTTATGATTTAAAGGCTTTGCCTTTTTCAAAATAAAGCATCTGTGTGGAGAATCCCCCTCCCTCGAAGAAAGAAGAATTCTGCTTCATCCACTACATCGCTGAAGAGCAAATCTTAAGCGTTGCCTGTGGACAGAATGGTACTATTTTAATCAAAGTTATTTTAAAATCAATATAGACTAGCATGGAAGCACTGACATTTAAACCTATAATATGGATTTTACATGGATAATCATGCTTTACAGATATTAAACTAACATACCTTTCTTACAAAATGTCCACACAAACAATGTCTGCAGCTTCCTCCTCCTAGTACCTCCTTACCCCTTATTTTTAAAACCTAGCAGAGCAAGAAGGTGGTTCAAGAATCGAATGGATAACTTCAGCTGAGTAATCACACTATCTGTCCATCCAGCAGCAGTGCTGCTTAAGGAGTTCTCATTTCTACTCCACCCCCTGCATTGTACTGGCAAAGTGATTCCAGAAGCTATACAGCTGGAAAGATCACACAACTGCTCCACCTAAGAAGTAACAGAATGGGAAGGAGGGTGAACCTCACCCTGCAACCAAATGAGTTCCTTTCTGAGCCTCCACAAATCACCCTGCTAGTACATGACAGGACTACAAAAGGAAAAGAGCTAGTTAGCTCAGCACCACCATGGTGGAAATACCCTTGGAACGACAGACCAGAAATCAGTTCTTTCTGGATGATTTTCAGTATGGCATGCAAATTTATTTTCTCCATTCTATTTCTAGAATTCTATCAGCCCAAAGAAGCAAGTAAAACCAAAAGCAAATAAACTCCTCACCTCTTTTGTGGTCTCACAGTTTTAGAAAATCATGTAAGTCATGTTTATTTAGCTATATTGAGAAGTTAACTGCTCAGATTAGATGGAACTGCAAAGCGCGCACAAAACCTGCAGGCAGTGGATTCAGCTGGGTTCTGTGCATGTGTGCAAACGAACTTTATTTAAATAAAACTAGTCCTATGTTACAGTGCATCTAATGTATTTTTGAAAGAGGAAAAAGATGGGTATTTGGTATCTCAACTTGCTTTTTCCTAATTATATCATCTACCTGCCGACAAGAAGTTTTCTTCACGAAGTCTTAATGCATCACTGAAACACAAACACATTTACCTGTCTATTTAAGATGCACAGGAGGAGGAAAATGGGAGGGAAGGACTTCCTAATCACTTACCGAAATATTGGAGTATGACCAGGCTTTGGTTTGTTCCAAGTAAAGTGCGAAGGAACTGAAAGAAATTGGTCTCCGGGCAAATCTTTTTTCAAGGTGTGCTGAGATCCAGAGCAGTCATCTGCAGTTTCAAGGGATGACGATAAGTTACCCTGTTCTTCAGGACAGATATCTATTTTTCCAGATAAAGTGGCAGTCTGATCCTCTGAGGTCTTTCTTGTTTTTAGAGGAATATCGGTCTCTGTACAACACTGAAATGGTGAAAGGCCAGAATTAAGGCCTTGTACGTTATGGATGGAAGTGTTTAGCCAGGTGTCTTCTGTTATGCTTCCTCTGGGAGAATGGCCAGGGGATGGAGTTGGAGAATGGTGAGGAGAGAGAGAACCAGCATAGCAAATCTCGGCACTGGAGTGTCGTCGTTTCCCACAGGGGGATGTAGGTCTTGAGGAGGGCCTTGATGTTGGTCTAGGGCTTAGCCAGTTTTCATCTGTAATACTAGTTCTAGGAGAATGACAGGGGGACTGTCTAGGTGACAAGGCATGCCCAAATCCATAAGGCTGCTGCCAAGATTCATCACTGAGACCTCTTGGAGAACCACCAGGAGATGCCAATGGAGAGCCAAGGGTAAATCGAGCAGCTGCTTCATTTAGCTCTGAGTCTACATCATCATAAACATGGGAAATGGATTCACAAGAGGAAGCATCTGAAAACCAACTTCTGGATGAAATGCTGCTGGCAGGGCTTGGACTAAGGGATGATTCCCTATATGATGGCTCAAGAGGAAGATAGAGATGGTCCCGTGAAGGCCTTTCCATATACTCATTTTCTGTGCCATTTGTGTGCAATTCATCTTCATTGGCTTCAATCCCTTGATGACAGTTTGGTGAAATAGATGTAATCTGAATACTGGGGCACTCAAAGGGTTTGGGCCCACCTAGTGGGCTGTACTTGGATTCTGGTACATCACAAGTTCCTTCGTAGTTCTTATGACTCTGAAGTCTTGTAGGTGGTGACAGAGGAGAGGAGTGAGACTGCAACCCTTGGCGAGGAATACAAATGGGCTGATTTACAGAGGATGATGGTTGGTCTACGTTAAAGATGTATATGGACGCACAGTCATCTGACTCAAGATCTGAAAACAAAAATTAAAAAAAAGAAGAAGAGAGTCAGAATGCAATACTTGGAAAATGCCACAAACAAAATCCTTTGTTTCCCAGGTATGGCCTGTTTTCAACATCCTAGACACTTCCCATTACACTAGCCACCCAAAATGAAGCTCTTTCTTCATTTTAAGTTTTCCCCAGCCATATTTACAGATAAATATGACTACAGTATAGTTTTTTGTCATAAATCTTGTCTTCAACCAGATTCCACAGATTATATGCATCTTCAGTGGTTGAAAATATAACACACACAGAAAATAGGTTTAAAATCTTGAAAGGATCTAACCTGGAATACTCAATTCAAACTATCTTTCATAACAACATTCCTTTCATAATTAATAATTTTAAATAATCCATTAAAAAGTAATCTTTTTGACATTAAGAGGACTATGATACTTTTTGCAAGCCCCATTAGTCAATATTTATAAGCACTGGGATATCACATACATAATATTTATCTCCTTTAACACTAGAAAGCATCTTACAGTGACTCAAACGTCAATGAAGATTATAAACAACTAAAAATGTTCAATCAAAAGAGGCCTATCAAAGAATATTACTAAAGATATTATGAACAATCTTATTCCAAAGATCTTTCTTGGTTGCTTAGAAAACTCTCAAGTGCCCATCCCACAGAATAGCATTTTTCAAGTGCAGTCTCACGAAGTTTGAGCACTAGTTGTTCAGCATGAAAAAGGCAAAACAAAATATTCTCAGATCTCACTAACTTATCCAAAACACAGGAAATATTCCAAAGAAAAACAAGCAATTGAGAGGGAGTGCAAATCCAGCTAACAAAATCGGCAGCTTTGTCTCACAGAACTGAAGCAGATTTTCTTGCCCCACTTCTCAATACTGAACTGGCTGCCAGTACGAGACATTTGTCTGAAACAAGACTAGAAAACACAGCTTTTTCTTATTTTGTAACCACGATGCTTCCACTCTTGTTTCTTTCCCCTTGTAAAATAGATCCGTCCCTCTGTAATTATAGAAAGTAAGTATTCAGGAAGTATCAGGTAGTTCACTCGTCTATCATCTCCTAGCAGATGAAATTAAATGTACTTGGACCATCCCCACTAGAAACTAGTCTCAGAATCTGTTAACAATATTGTCTCCACAACCTGAGTAATTTGTTTTAATGCTGAATCACTTTGAGAGCTTTTGACCCATCACTAACATTTAGCATCACCATTAAAATTACACAGTTTCTAGTGCTTTGCATGGGGGTGTTTTGGGGTTTTTTAAAGTATTTTTTTCAGTAATAGGGGAATATTATGCAGAAGCATAAGTGTTTCTGCTAACTAAAATGCTCCTGTGTCAAATGTGACTATGAGACATCACGTTCATACAATTATTTTCCATAAATCCACACTGGATGACACTAATTGCATCTCTGGGTATTAGTTGTTTTGGTTTTATTTTTAAATGGTTTTCGTCCTGAGGATCAGTAGATTATTAATACTTGTTTTAAAATAAATCTAGTCTCTCGCACAATCAGATAAAATATTGAGACAGGAAGCCGTGCATTTCAGGCCTTTCCATGATGAAAAAAAATTAGTATGTTAATAAAGTCATTCTATTATCAATTTCACTAATAGGAATCAGCTTAAAATTAACTAAAACAGAAACAAAACAGCATCTCCTCAGATACTACAACTAAGCATTTTCAAACAGAGAGAAAGCATTCTGTTACCCAGGAACAGACTATGTTCCTCAGCTGAAAGGTCATGGGCAGGGAGCAGCTCTATTAGTAAGCTATCTATTAAAGGAGGCACAAAATTGCATTTTAGACTAGTACTAAGTAGTTTTATAAGCATTGTGTGATTTTATATATTACATGTAGTCATATATAACAATTATCCATATTACGTAATTATATAATTAACTACTATTATAAGTTAAGAGCACAAAAAAATCAGTATAGGTTAATTTCTAAATATGCATACACTAAAAGGATAAGGATACTCAGGAAGGACTATTTCGTGTCTCACCCAAATACCTAGCACAAGCTGACTATGTTGAACACTATCAAAACCGCATTTCCCTGTCCTTTAACCAGGATAACAAACATTTAAAACTCTTTGCTGTTTCCCATCACAAAACTTGAACTGCAGACAGTAGTTAGTTACAGGCTTTCCACATCTACTGGTGTATTTGTGCGCAAGATCAAAGATGCCCTTGTTTCCTAACTCAATATTAGAAGCATAGGTCAAGGGAGGGAAAAAAAGCAATTATCCAGTTACTCCAAACCTAGAAATAAAAGAGCTACAGAAATTTTGAAATAATAATTAAAAAAATTACAGGAAAACAACAGTTGGAAGTCTTCAAGTCCTGTGCGTAACCATTTACTGACATTAATGGCTTTAGGAACAGTAGCAGCACATTGTTTGTGCTAAAACTCTCACCATTGCAAAGAGCCTTATTTCTCTTGCAGCAATAATAAAGAAATCTTAAAATATTTAAGACAGTTTGTCCACTTTCAATGTCATTGGGATTTACAAGAAGCACTGTAGGGGGGAAAAAAAAAAAAAAAAAAAAAAAGCAAATGTACATTCAAAATTTAAGTTTCATGGAGCTGAGGTGGAGAGACCAGACTAGCACAGAATTATCAACACCAGCTGGGAAGAACTGGGGAAAAGGCAGGAGAGCACTCTTCTGACTCAGGCTTCTTTGGTCCCTCTCCATGACAAACAACTTCTAACAAGTGTGGCACTGTGCTCTCCTATTACCCCTCCCCAGCAGCATACATGCACACACTCAAAAAACAGGAAGCTAGAAACCTAGAGAAAGAACTATGCATCTAATGAACACCAAATCCCAAAAGCATGCTTAAGCCTGTGGAAACAATATATTCTGAAGTGGAAACCACCCAAACCATTTTCAGACACAATCAATAAACAGGTAGATTTATTCCAGTTCACACACACAAACCCTCTCCCTTGCAGTCATATGCTAAAATAACCTCTTAGTTGCTCATACAAAGGGCAACACTAACTACTAAGACCTTTACAAACTGTGTCATTAAGTCTACTAGACTATTTACCAATAATTATTTTTGTCCTATTAAAGACTGCAGAAAGAATCCAATCTGGAAGATCCCTCTAACCACTAGAAGGAACTAGTAAACATACAAAGATGAATATACCTTGGGAGAAAGACAGAAAGACAAAAAAAAAACCCAAACCAAACACCCAGCTGACAACCCTTAAGATGGAAAGGAGTGAGAATAGCTCAAAAAACCAAACAGCTTCAAGAAAGCAGATGGTAAACAAACTCAGGGTAGTCTCACAATAGGCAAGTGCAAGGCAAAGAGGAGTTATAGAGAAGCCCAAGGCAAAAAATGGAGTTATGGAAATCTGGTTACTTAACAGGAGAGCTATTACATCCTATTAGGGGAGGAAAGTCAGTAAAGAAGTGAAGTTGGCCAAGTCATGAGGCCTTCACTGACCATAAAATATAAGAAAGAAGCATTCAAGAAACAGAAACTAGGTTAGATTACTACGGTAGAGCATAAGAACTACCACAAACACACAAGGGCAAGATGCTAGATAGGACAAACACAAGAAAATACAAAGACCAAGAGAAGCAGTGCCACTCACATCAAAAGCCCACCATGACCTTGAAAAGGCAGGTGTGTTAAATGCTTTTTCTTTAGTCAAGTCAACTGGGTAAATTGCTAACAAAGTTAATAGCAGTGCAGAGTAAAGAAAATTGGACTAAATAAAAGGTTAAAAAGAAGAATTATGGGCCAGTAAGTTTAACTTCAGTTTCAGAAGTAGTAATAATAGTTTATTTGTTCCAGTAAGCATTTAAAAGGAGACAGAGAAACAGAACAAGTCCATGTCTAAGAACAAAACCACGTCAAACAGATTTTGTTTTACAATCAAAGGAGGAGGTCTTCTGGATAGCTAGCATAGAAACTCAACTTTGTTTTAACTTATTAAGACTTTTAACACTACCATGCATGGAGAAGCCACTGAGTGTTCAGGAATTTAGTGAAGCCTTCTTTCCCACTCTGCTGAGAGGAGGTTTACTACTGAGGGACCACAGAATTTAGCAGATGCTCTATATTCGCACAGTGCATATAAGCTATATAAAGCTGCAGACTCCCACTGCAATCTTACATCAGGCACCTGTGTCATCCTTTATCAATGAAAACCAGAAGGTCTGTCCTTTTGGGTGAACATTTGCTACTGTCTGGAAACAGACTAGTTTACAGAAGCTCCTATTTAGTATTGAAACAACGCTGGCTCATCCCTTAGTAAGCTGCTAACTACATTTCAACATAAGCTGTCTAACTGAAGAATATAATTAAATAATAACCAGAACAACTGCTCCTGAAATACATTTTGCTCGCTATTTGCCGTATCAGACTGGACATTCAGGACTACTAATGCGTGCCCACCAGTTGTTCACTCCTCAACGATGTACTGGCACACGCATATGTGCAGCTGTGCAGCGAGCCAAATTTCTCCACAAAAGGAAGGTCAATTACTATCAAATGTCTGAACACAAGCCCTCTGCAAATATTATCCAAACCACTTTATTATTCTCCGTTTGTAAGCCCATAAACAAACAGGTTCAGACAATAGGAGTTGTTATAAGGTACTAAGAAAGCACAACATGACCTAGGTCTTATAAAAATACTACTGTGAAAACAGGATCAGTAATCAAGTCCTTTAAATAGCATGAGGAAAGACTTGAGCGTTGCCACAGACGTCATGTGTGTTCTCAGGCAAGTCATATAATCTGTCTCCACTCCCAAACTTTAAGAAGAATGACAACCTCTTCTGTTTTTCAGCTCTGCCATGACAGTTACCATTATCTCTTTCTGAACACAATGGTATTATAAAGAATGCCACAGAAATATCTGTAAATAAGAACAAAGGCATACGCAGCTCCATTTTTTAATTTCATTATCCTACTCATTTGCAGCAGCTCATATATTTCTTGGGAAGAAAAAGGAGTC